GGGCAGAGTTCAGTAAAACTTTAATCCGCTTGACTGTTGATGGGTGGGGCTGGGTTCCCTCCCTGTTCGTTGTTTTGCCTGAGGCAACCAAACACTGGAGCCTACCTGGGCTCTTTGGTGGGGCTAATGACAGACTCTGGGAGGGCTCATGCCAAGGAGTACTTCCCAGAACTTCTGCTGCCAGTGTCCTTGTCCCCACGGTGAACCACAGCGCCCCCCCCCCACCGCCTCTGCAGGAGACCCTCCAACACTAGCAGATAGGTATGGTTCAGTCTCCTATGGGGTCACTGCTCCTTCCCCTGGGTCTCAGTGTGCACACTACTTTGTGTGTGCCCTCCAAGAGTGGAGTCTCTGTTTCCCCCAGTCCTGTTGAAGTTTTGCAATCAATTCCCACTAGACTTCAAAGTGTGATTCTCTAGGAATTCCTCCTCCCGTTGCCGGACCCCCAGGTTGGGAAGAGTGACGTGGGGCTCATAACCTTCACTCCAGTGGGTGGACTTCTGTGGTATAAGTGTTCTCCACTGTGTGAGTCACCCACCCAGCAGTTACGGGATTTGATTTTAATGTGATTGCACCCCTCCTGCTGTCTCATTGTGGCTTTTCCTTTGTCTTTGGATGTGGGGTATCTTTTTTGGTGAGTTTAGGGTCTTCCTGTAAATGATTGTCCAGCAGCTAGTTGTGATTCTGGTGTTCTCGCAAGAGGGTGTGAGAGCACATCCTTCTACTCCGCCATCTTGGTTCCTCCCCTGCTCCATTGGTTTTATTCCTCTGTTTCTACCTTTGTAAGTTTTTGGTTTTCATGATGATTTGCTCATTATCCACTTTTTTAGTATTTTGTGTCTCTGATATACCATGAAGTTTACAGACATCATCTCATAGATAAATTGTTATCAACAGAAAAATGACAATTTTATCTTTTTTAAAATTTATTTTTATGAAAGTATAGTTGATTTACAGTGCTGTTAATTTCTGCTGTACAACAGAGTGACTCAGTTATACATATATATACATTCTTGTTTTATATTTGTTTCCATTATGCTTTATCACAGGATATTAAATACAGTGCTGTGTGCTATACCACAGAAACTTGTTGTTTATCTGTTTCATATATAATTGCTTACCTCTGTTAACCCCAAACTCCCAATCTATCACTCTCCCAAACCTCTACACTTTGGCAACCAAAAGTCTGTTCTTTACGTCTGTAGTTCTCTTACTGTTTCGTAGATAGGTTCATTTGTGTAAAATTTTGATTCCACATATAAGTGATATCATATGGTATTTGTATTTCTCTGACTTACTTCAGTTAGTATTATTATCTCTCAGTCCACCCATGTTGCAGCGAATGACATTATTTCTTTTTATGGCTGAGTAGTACTCCATAGTTTATATGTACTACATCATCTTTATCCATTCATCTATTAATGGACATTAAGGTTGTTTCCATGTCTTGGCTATTGTGAATAGTACTGCTATGAACATGGGGTGCATGTATCTTTTTGGATTAGAGTTTTGTCTGGACATATGCCCAGGAGAGAGATTGCTGGATCATAAGGTAATTCTGTTTTTAGTTTTCTGAGGGACCTCCATACTGTTTTCCACAGTGGCTGCACCAACTTACATTCCCACCAACAGTGTAGGAGGGTTCGCTTTTCTCCACAATCTCTCCAGCATTTGTTAGTTGTACATTCTTTCATGGTGGCCATTCTGACCAGTGTGAGGTGGTACCTTATTGTACTTTGGTTTACATTTCTCTAGTAATTAGCAGTGTTGAGCATCTTTTCATGTGCCTATTGACCATCTGTATTTCTTCTTTCGGGAAATGTTTCTTTAGGTCTTCTGCCCATTTTTCGATTGGGTTGTTTGTCTGTTGCTGAGTTGTATGAGCTGTTTGTATATTTTGGAAATTAAGCCCTTGTTGTTCTTATCGTTGGCAAATATTTTCTCCTGTTCTGTAGGTTGTCTTTTCGTTTATTTTTTTATAGTTTCCTTTGCTGTGCAAAAGCTTGTAAGTTTGATCAGGTCCCATTTGTGTATTTTTGTTTTTATTGCCTTGGGAGACTGACCTAAGAAAACATTGGTACGATTTATGTTAGACAGTGTTTTGCCTATGATCTCTTCTAGGAGTTTTACAGTGTCATGTCTTTAAGTCTTTCAGCCATTTTGAGTTTATTTTTGTATATGGTGAGAGGGTGTGTTCTAGCTTCATGAATTTACATGCAGCTGTCCAATTTTCCCAACATCACTTGCTGAAGAGACTGTCTTTTTCCCCCTGTATATTCTTGCCTCCTTTGTTCAGGATTAGTTGACCATAAGTGTGTGGGTTTATTTGGGGGCCCTCTATTTGATTGATGTAGGTTTCTGTTCTTATGCTGGTACCATGCTGTTTTGATGTCTGTAGCTTTGTAGTATAATTTTTTTAAAAAACTAAAAATTTTTTTGTTTTAGTTCTATGATAAATGCCCTTGGTATTTTTATACGGATTGCATTGAATCTGTAGATTGCCTTTGGGAGTATGGTCATTTTAACAATATTAATTCTTCCAATATCACAGTGTATCTTTCTTTCATTTATTTTTGGCTTCATCGGGTCTCAGTTGCAGCACATGGGCTCTTCATTGAAGCATATTGGCTCCTCTCTAGTTGTGGTTCCTGGGCTTCTCTCTAGTTGTGGCATGCGGGCTCCTGAGCGCACGGGCTCAGTAGTTGCAGCACGCAAGCTCAGTAGTTTTGGCATTTGGGTTAGTTGCTCCATGGCATGTGGGATCTTAGTTCCCTGACCAGGGATCAAACCGACATCCCCTGCATTGGAAGGTGGATTCTTATTGGAAGGTGGATTCTTAACCACTGGACCACCAGGGAAGTCCGAAGCACAGTGTATCTTGCCATCTGTTATTGTCATCTTCAGTGTCTTATATTGATAGTTTTCTGAGTTTAGGTCTTTTACCGTTTTTAGGTAGGTTTATTTATAGGCTTTTTATGATGTGGTTTTAAATGGGATTGTTTCCTTGATTTCTCTTTCTAATATTTCATCGTTACTATATAGAAATGCAACAGATTTCCATATATTAATTTTGTATCATGCAACTTTACTGAATTCATTGATGAGCTCTAGTAGTTTTCTGGTGGTGTATTTAGGATTTTCTATGTATAGTATCTCTCATCTGCAAACAGTGACAGTTTTACTTCTTCCTTTTCAATTTGGATTCCCCTTAATTGTGTCATCTGATTCCTGTGGCTAGTACTTCCAATACTATGTTGAATAAAAGTGGCAAGAGTGGGCATCCTTGTCTTGTTCCTGAGCTTACAGAAAATGCCTTCAGATTTTCACTTTTGAATATGTTGTTAGCTGTGCGCTTGTCATATATGGCCTTTATTATCTTCCTTCTCTGCCCTCTTTCTAGAGTTTTTATCATAAATTCATGTTGAATTTTCTCAAAAGCTTTCTCTGCATCTATTGAGAAGATCATATGGTTTTTATTCTTCAATTTGTTAATGTGGTGTATCACTTTGAATGATTTGCAGATATTGAAAAATCCTTGCATCCCTGGGATAAATCCCACTTGATCATGGTGTGTAATCCTTCTGATGTGTTGTTGGATTCAGTTTGCTCATATTTTGTGAGGATTTTTGCATGTTCACCCGTGATACTGGTTTATAATTTTCATTTTTCTGTGATATCTTTGAGTTTTTGGTATTAATTTGATCATGGCCTTGTAGAATAGTTTGGAAGCATTCATTTCTCTGCAATTTGGGGGGAATGGTTTGAGAAGGATAGGTGTTAACTCTTCTCTAAATGTTTTGTAGAATTCACCTGTGAAGACATCTGTTCCTGGACTTTTGTTCTGTGGGAGGTTTTTTAATTGGTCTGTTCATATTTTCTGTTTCTTCCTGGTTTAGTCTTGGGAGATTGTACATTTCCAGGAATTTCTCCATTTCTTCTGGGTTGTCCAATTTATTGGCATACAGTTATTTGTAGTAGTCTCTTATCCTTTCTATTTCTGTGGTGTCAGTTGTAATGTCTCCTTTTTCATTTCTGATTTTATTGATTTGGGCCCTATTTTTTCTTGATGAGTCTGGATAAGGTATGTCAATTTTGTTTAGCTTTTTTAAAAAACTCTTAATTTCATTGATCTTTTTAATTTTTTTGTCTCTATTTCATTTATTTTTGCTCTGATCTCTACCATGTCTTTCCTTCTACTAACTTTGGGGTTTATTTTTTCTAGCTCCTTTAGGTGTAAGGTTAGGTTATTTCAGGTTTTTTGTTTCCTGAGGTAGGCTTGTATTGCTATAACCTTCCCTCTTAGAACTGCTTTTGTTGTTCCCATACAATTTTGGATTGTTGAGGTTTGGTTTTGTTTTCATTTGTGTACAGGTATTTTTAAATTTTCTCTTTGATTTCTTCAGTGATCTATTGGTAGTGTAGTAGTATATTGTATAGCCTCCACATGTTAGTGGTTTTTTTTCTTACGGTTGATTTTTAGTCTAATGCTGTTGTGGTCAGAAAAGATGCTTAATAGAATTTCAATTTTCTTAAATCTACTGATGTTTGCTTTGTGTCCTTAGCATGTGATCTATTCTGGAAAATGTTCCATGTACACTTGAAAAGAATGTGTATTCTGCTGTTTTGGGATAGGATGCTCTATATATATCTATTAAGTTCACCTGATCTAATGTGTCTTTTAAGGCCAGTGTTTCCTTATTTTCTGTCTAGATGATCTTTCCTTTGATATAATTGGGGTGTTAAACTCCCCTACTACTATTGTGTTACTGTTGATTTCTCCCTTAGTGTCTGTTAATATTTCCTTTATGAATGCTTCTATGTTGGGTGCATATATATTTACAAATGTTATATCTTCTTGGGTTGATCCCTTGATCATTAGGTATTATGTAGTGTCCTTCTTTGTCTCTTATAACAGTCTTTATTTTAAAGTGTATTTTGCTACCCCCAGCTGTCTTTTGATTTCCAGTTGCATGGAATACCTTTTGCCATCCAACTTTCAGTCTGTGTGTGTCTTTAGATCTGAAGTGAGTTTCTCGTAGGCAGCATATTTATAGGTCTTGATTATTGTATCCATTCAGCCACTCTCTTTTGATTGAGCATTTAGTCCGTTTACATTTAAAATGACTATTGATGTATATGTTCTTACTGACATTTTGTTAATTGTTTTGGATTTGTTCTTGTAGGCCTTTTTTGTTCCTTTTGTCTTTAGTTCTTGTGATTTTACTATCTTTAGTGTTATGTTTGGATTCATTTTTCTTCTTTGTGTGTACCTGTTTTTTGGGGTTTTTTTGTGGTATGTGGGCCTCTCACTGTTGTGGTCTCTCCCGTTGCGGAGCACAGGCTCCGGATGCGCAGGCTCAGCAGCCATGGCTCACGGGCCCAGCTGCTCCGCGGCATGTGGGATCCTCCCGGACCAGGGCACGAACCCATGTCCGCTGCATCGGCAGGTGGACTCTCAACCACTGTGCCACCAGGGAAGACCCCTATTATAGATTTTTGATTTATGGTTACAGTGAGGTTCACATACAGCTAGCTAGCAGATAGATATGCATGATTGTTTTAAGTTGCTGATCTCTTAATTTTACATGCATTTTAACAACCCTGCATTTGTATTCTTCTCCCCTCACAATTACTGTTTTTGATATAATATTTTACATCTGATTGTTTTGTCTTTCCCTTAACTGCTTAATGTGGATATAGATTATTTTACTACTTGTATCTTTTAACCTTCCTACTAGCTTTATGAGTGAACGATTTCCTACCTTTACTATATGTTTGCCTTTACCAGTGAGCTTTTTCTGTTTGTAATTTTCATGTTTTCTTGTTATGGTCTTTTCTTTTTCACTTAGAGGTTCCTTTAACATTTCTTGTAAAGCTGCTTCAGTCATCCTGAACTCTTTTAGCTTTTGCTTGTCATTAAAGCTTTTGATCTCTCCAACAAATCTGAACAAGAACCTTGCTGGGTAGATTATTCTTGTTTTAGGTTTTTCTCTCTCACTACTTTAAATGTATCATGTCACTCCCTTGTGGCCTTCAGAGTTTCTGCTGAAGAGTCAGCTGATAGCCTTATGGGAGTGCCCTTGTCTGTAACTTGCTGCTTTTCCCTTGCTGCCTTTAATTTTTGCCATTGTAATTAAAAAGAGAGAATATTAAATGTTTCTTGCTGTGTTCCTCTTTGGGTTAATCCTGTATGAGACTATCTGAGCTTCGTGGACTTGGATATCTATTTCCTTTCCCAAATTTGGGAAGTTTCCAGCCATTATGTCGTTAAGTATATGTTCAGTCTCTTTCTCTCTTCTTCTGGACTCCCTGTAATGCGAATATTAGTGCACTTAAGTTGTCCCAGAGGTCTCTTAAACCATCTTCATATCTTTTCATTCTTTTTTCTGTTTAGTTTCAGTGATTTCCACTACTGTCTTCCAGCTCACTGATCCACTACTTTGTATCATTTGGTCTACTGTTGATTTCTTCTAGTGTGTTTTTCATTTCAGTTACAGTATTCTTCATCTGTTTTGTTTTTCTTTGTATATGCTCTTTGTTAGAAACATCTAATCTCTCTCTCTGTGCATCCATTCTTCTCCCAAGTTCTTTGATCATCTTTACAATCATGACCCTGAACTCTTTCTTGGGTACATTGCCTATCTCTACTTCACTTAGTTCTCCTGGAGTTTTTTCTTGTTCCTTTGTTTGCAACATACTCATCTGTTGCCTCATTTTGCCTAATTTGTTCTTTACATTTCCCAGCCTAGGAGAAGTGGCCTTTTGTAAGAGATGTCCTATGCATCCGAGCAGTGCACTCCCCTCTTGCCACCAGAGCTATATGTGCTAGGGGTTCCTAGAGAGCTGTGTGGGGCTTTCTGTCTTGGTAGGCTGACTGTGTGGTCAGTCTGGTAGGCTTGGTTGGCCCCTAGCCTGGTTGGTTGCCAGGTCCTACCTTTTGTGGAGGCTGCCAGCTGCTGGTTGGCAGGACTGGGTCATGAGGCGGCTGACTGTGGAACCCCACAGGTTCTCTAGGCTAATGCTGGGTTACTGGTGGGCAGAGTCAGGAGACCCCCGGGCTGTTGTCCACCCACTGCATGTGAAGCTGGGTCCTGGGGTCTGGTTGCAGGTCCCAGGGGTCCCAGAACTGGGGTCAAATAGCTGGTGAGTGGGGCCAGTTCCTGACACAATTGGCTGTGGGATCTGGGGTGTTTTGAAGCTTGTGTTGGCCTGCTGGTGGCCAGGGCCCAGGTGGTCCCTGGGCAGAGTCTGGCCTGCTGGCTCTGCAAGCTGCAGGGCTACAGTTTCCTTGCAGCTGGTGTCTGTGCCCTAGAGAGTGGGTCCTGGGGGGCCTCGGCTAGTGCCTGCACACTGGCATGCAGGGCTGGGTCCTGGGCCCTCTCATGGACAGGGCCACATCCAGAGGCAGCTGTGGGCTCAGAGGGTCTTAAGGCAGCCTGTCCACTGGTGGGTGGGACTGTGGTCACACCCAGTTAGTTGCTGGATCTTGGGGGTAGTGAGCTAGAGGGAGGATTCCAAAATGGCACTTGCTAGCACCAGTGTCCACATGGTAGAAGGAGCTCTCAAAGATGGCTACCATCAGTGTCTATGTTTCCAGGATGACCTGCAGTTGTTTCTTGCCTCAAGGAGACTTTCCAAGATCAGCAGGCTCCTATCAAATTACTGCTTCTCCCTGGGTCCTGGAGTGTGTGATATTTTGTGCACACCCTTTAAGAGTGAAGGCTCTCCTTTCCTACAGACTCTGGGACGCCTGAAAGTAAGCACTGCTGGCCTTCAAACCCGCATGCTGTAGGTGCTCATCTTCTTGGTGTAGAATCCCTGGGCTAGAGAGTCCAATATGGAGCTCGGACCTCTCACTCCTTTGGGAGAACCTCTGCAATTGTAATCATTCTCCCTTAGCTCGGTGCTTTGTGACCACCTAGAGGGGTGGGATAGGGATGGTGGGAGGGAAACTGCAAGAGAGAGGGGATATATGTGTACATATAGCTGATTCACTTTGTTATACAGCAAAACTAACACACCATTGTAAAGCAACTGTACCTAAAGATACTAAAAAAAATATGTAATTATTCTCCCATTTGTGGGTTGCCAACCCATATGTAGGGGACTTGACTATATTGTGACTCTGCCCCCTAACTGTTGTGGTTCCTTCTTTATATCTTTAGTTATAGAAGACCTTTTTAGCTAGGTTCTTCTTTTTCATTGATGGTTGTTCTGCAGCTAGCTATGATTTTGGTGTGCCTGTGAGAGGAGGTGAGCTCAGGGTTTTTTTACTCCACCATCTTGACTGCTTCCCTCACCTGAATCATTTCCAAAGTCCTATCCTCTGGCTTGCTAATTCTCTTCCATGCGATCTGCTCTATTTCCAATGTTTTTAATGCAGGCTTCATCTCATTTCCTGTGTGAGGTCCTCAGGTCCAGAATTTGTTTGGTTCTTTAGAACTTCATTCTCTTGGTAAAGTATTCCTTCTGTTCATTAATTTCATTCCTCAGTTCACTGAAAGTTCGTTGAATTTCTTCATGACAACTCTTTTGAATTCTTTATAAGGTAGATCACAGTATTCTGTGTCTTTGGGTTCAGTTGCTGAAAAACTGTGATTTTATTTTTACTTTTGCCATATTACAACGAGTTTTTCATAGTGTTTGATGAAATGTGCCTCTGCACATTTTCATTTGAAGTAACAAATACCTTTCTTACTTAGGTAAGGCTTTGTTTGCTTTGATTCTAATAAACAGGTTGGCAATAAGAAGCCTTTCTTTTGCTTTCCAGAAGGTGGCAATATAGCACAAGTTTGACTTACTGGAGCTAAGTTGGGAGCATGTGCATAAAAAAGCTGGTGTTAAAAAAAGAACAAAGGCTGGTGACAGACTTGGGGGGTATATAATAAACACTTGGAGCTTTGAGTATGCCCATGGCCTGGTAGGGGGATCTTCCACTGGGGGAGCTCCAGCAGTGCACAGGGGGACTTCTTGATTGAATTCCAGGACACATGGCAGGAAACCCATACCTTCGGTTGTCTTTGGCTGCCTTCTTTCCTTTCCATCCTCCTGGTTACAGAGGTCTCTCTTCAGGACTCAGGTGTTGCTACAGAACAATAGGGCCCTCCAGCTGCCACCCACATTGCCAGGCAGACTGTCACCCCTTTCACTTTCCACCTCCTCTGCCAGAGACTTGCCACCACCACTGCAACTCCCTTGGCTCTGTGGTCTTCTCCAAGATCCAACCCATCCACTTTCAGATGCACAGGTGGATGCATCTCTTGTGTGTCTTGGTGTGTGTGCAGAGGCACTTTCTGTTACAGATGTCTAATAGTTGAAGGGGAGAGAAAAAAAGTAACAACTCTTGCCACCATGATACTGCCCTCACTCCCAGCCTCACTCTTGTGACCAGCTGCCAACATTGCATTGTGCCCTTGAGCACATCCTTTCCTTGTATGTAATTAACACCAGATGGAAATCAAATCTATTCAGAAACCATTTTTACTCATTGGAGTTAATGAGCTAAAAGAATAATACCAGTACTGTTGACAACTGCAAGTCGCCCACAGGCTGCAGTCCTGGAAGTCAGGTGGAGAAAGTGCTTCAAGGAGGAAGGAGAGATCAGCTGTCAAATCACGCTTGATGCATCATGTAGGATGAAGACTGAGAAATGACCACTGGATTTAACAATGTGGAGGTCATTAGTGGTCTTAAGCAAGTTTGCTGAAATGGTAAGGGAAAGAAGCCTAATAAAGGAGGTTCAAGAGAATAGGAGGAAAAAAAATCAGAGTCAGTGAATATACTTCAAGGAGTATCACCATAAAGGGAAGCAAAGCATGTAATAGCTGGAGAGAAAGTGGAATTAAGATGATGTTTTTAACCTTTTCCATGTATATTTTCAAGCATACACAAGAATAGAGGGAAAAGTAAAATGGACCTATTGATACATGTACTCGTTTCCCAGTTTCAATAGCTATTGATATTTTGACAATCTTGTTTCATCTACAACTTTCTGATGGGAGTATTTTAAAGAATCATTGTTTCACCTCTAATAACTTTAGTATATATATTTTTTAGATGAGAACTTAAAAATTATAACCACAGTGACAACATTAACAGTAGTGCCTTAATGGCATAACTCATCTGTGTTTATCTTTTTCCAATAGAAAAGAGAATTTTTTTAAGGGAAAAATAACAGCATGTGTGTATACTGATGGGACTGAGCCAAGAG